CTAAAGGAAAAGGGGCACGTCAGGCCTCGTTCCCGATCGCATCGGTAGGAAATAAAGCTAACTCCGCTAAACTAGAGGTTTCCTGGTGTAGAAATAAAGGCAGATCAAAACAAGCCCAGGAAGTAAAACTCAAGTCAGTTTGTGTTTGCACAGAGCTCTGAAAATGGAAAGCAGTGATTTCAAGTGCTAAGTAAGGCTCCTGTTATTTTCTTCCAGCTTGAACCTGGCATCCAAATATGATCGTTCTCCTTTCTGAATGCAGCTCAACTCCACGAATAAGCGTTCTCAGGCATGTATATTTTGTGCATATAAATCCAGCTTTGATTTGCATAAGTAGATGCATACTATCTGATGTACGTGCAAAATCAGACATTGCAGCTGAAAAATCTGGCCATTAAACTATTCTGTTAGATTCACACATTTTCCAAGGAATGAGACACACATAAATCCACCGACTGCATCTTTTGCTATTGAGCAGATTTAATAGCATTGTGTTAACACCTAGAGACGGTGGTGAAGAACTGAGACCTCGTTGTATTAAGCTCGTAGACATGCATAATGAAAAGATTGTTCCCGCCCCACCAATTTACAGTCTTAGTGGATTATAGGGATTTTTCTTGTTTTTAAGCAAGTATTTCTCAGTACGTTATATAACATCAAATAAATCCCATCATTGTATTCAATGTAGTGTATACCCCTTCTATGAAGTACTTTTACAAAAGCAGAAATACTCAGGTGACGCTATGATAGCAAACATAAATCTTTCTATATATATTGCCTAGATTTGTGCATTTTATTTTTATCCTAAATTCCAAAGTTTGGAGGACATCGTTGTTCTAGGTCTAAGGGCAGCTGCTGTTGTTGCTATGTAAACAAAACTAGCAGTACTCTGGAGACTTCACAGAATCACAGAATCGTTTAGGTTGGAAGGGACCTCTGGAGATCATCTAGTCCAACCTCCCTGCTCAAGCAGGGTCACCTAGAGCATATTGCCCAGGATCACATCCAGACGGGTTTTGAATATCTCCAGGGAAGGAGACTCCACTACCTCTCTGGGCAACCTGTTCCAATGCTCTGTCACCCTCACAGTCAAGAAGTTTTTCCTCAGGTTCAGGTGGAACTTCCTGTGGTTCAGTTTCTGCCCGTTGCCTTCTGGAGTTTCTGCCCAACTCCTGGAGATATTTTGGATCTGTGCAACTGCAGTGTGAATATTTCCTTGGGAACACCTATGGCCAGTTACTTTGACTCTGGCTGGACTACAGCTGTTGCTGTGCATGTGCTCACTCTCTTTGATAACTTTGTTAATATGACACGTTCTACAAGTATTGTCAAAATAAGTCTGACACCACAACAGATTGTGAAGAAAAGACAGAGCAGTAGTGAAAAAAATTAGAATTCCTCAACATGTTTACAGTTGATTTCTAATCTGATGGCAAATTGAGTTTTTTCTTCCCAAACTAGTTTGCCATCCCTGTTTTCTAACCTGTGGTAACTGGTTCTGTACCTGGGGAACAAGACTGCAAATCGAATGAGTTATTCTTCCTGGGTGCATTTTCCAATTATGATTCTCATACCACTGACATAAGTGAGACACCAGGTGCCTTCCCAAACTGAGCTGTTTCCAGAAGGATCAGATAATTGGAGAAAGAGAATACAAATCCAGCGTACAAACAATGGAAATCCCTAGTTTACATGTGTGGTTGTTTTCACTCTATTGTTTTCTCTCAACCTTCAACTCTGAGTAAGTTTTGGATCGAATTAAAGCTTTACTAACAGATTAGCTACTATTTCAACCATCTCCTTGTTTAGAGGCAATTAACATAAGTGTAAAGTGTGCGTAAAATGTGTTCCTTCACGTCTTTAAGGAAAATTAAAATATGCCATTTACATTTTGTAGCTATTGAACTTTCATGAATTACTGTATTTAAACATACAGGTCTGAGCTGGGACTTAACGTGTTATTTGGGAGGGTTAGCTTCAGTGATTCTGCATCTTACAGTCTCTCACTTCACGTCGAGTGTGCCAGGAGACTGGTTATGAATTAATATTCTTGCTTAAAAAGGAAGTAGGACGCTCGACCATCTCAAATATGAACACTGCAAGATGTGGATTTGGCTGGATGAAGACATTTAGGAGAGTACACGTGCACATTAAATCAACTTGCTAAACACCTCAAGAGCAAAACTGCTGATCCTAAGAGCCAACTTGCAATGCTACACAACACTCAAGAGAATAAAAAGCTCGTAGACGAGACATCTACAGATCTGACTGTGCCAAGATAATGAGGAGAACAGAGTACACAAGGGATTTTTCTCTTCTTGATGCACATATGTAATTCCTATTGACAGCAGCGGGAGTTACACGTACATATCAAGGGGACAATAGAAGGGTTAGTGGAGGAGATGAGCATCAGATGTGAGCTGCGTTACCATGGGCAGAAAATGAGAGGGAGGGAGGTGTGATCACTGAGGGACAGTACAACACACAATAAAATTGTCACGC